TTGTTTTATTTGACATTGAACTCTCTATTCTGTGTTTCTGTGGACATTGCACAGCAGACTATTTTGAGATTATATCCCAATACCTACTATCTCCCCCTTCTAACTTTATGCTGTCATGATGAAATGTCTTTGCAGGTTAGAGAAATTAACTTACTTCGTGAAAGCAATATCCAACTCAGAGAAGAAAACAAGCACAATTTTGAGGAATGCCAGGTATTTGAATATTTTGACTGCTGAAAGTCCTTATTTGAGGATTCTCTCTGTTTAGATAATTGTTTTTCATCCATGCAAATGTGACTCATCATATTTTTTTATTTTGTTTCAGAAATTGCGTGAAATATCACAAAAAGCTAATGCTGAGACTGAGAACCTAGAGAGATTGCTACAGGAGAGACAGATAGAGTTGGAAGCCTGTAAGAAAGAAATTGAAATGCAAAAGTCAGAGAAAGAACAGTCAGAACAGAGGGTTCGTGAGGTATTGATCTTGGAACTGCTTTCTGTCTCTCTTTTGCACTTACATCTAGTAATTGCAAAATTATATGTTAACGGTCCATGATGGGGGATTCTCTCTCTCTCTAGGATTTTGTCTTATTCTGAGAACTATACACTCTATAAACTTTCCCTGCACACTTCAACCTAATATAAACATAGAAATACGTAGTAATAGTCCAGAGAGCTAGATTTCAATAATTGTATATCTATGCCTGGTAGCTGAAAGAGTCATTTGGACCTTAATAACATTAGAAAAGTTGTACAGTCTGCCGATTTTGTGGCAGTACCTGCTGCAGATATATGTAGGCATGTGCTTATTAAATAAACATATCCAATATTCTAATGTACTCTCTTTCTTGAAGCTACTTGAAAGATATAGAAACATTGATGTTCAAGATTATGATCGCACAAAGGAGGATGTTCGTCAGTTGCAGGTAGGCTGACACCTTTATAAGCAATGTTAATTGCTTTAAGCTTGTTTTGCTCCTGTTAGTTATTATAGCTTCGCCACTTATACTGACATTTTATCGTTGATATGTGTGAATCCTTGTCCACTTAAAAAAGATGTTGAAAAGCATTACAAATTACGGGTGTATTTTAACCTATTCTTGATGTTTTATCAAATGGTTATGTAACTTATGTTAATGCATGTGATAAACTTCCAACTTGTTTGTCCCTTTTTTGGTTTACTTTTTTATTATGATTATCTGTACATTAATTATGTGAGTAGGGCAACAAACTATGGTGTGCGTCCATTTGTATCTTACTTTGTTTCAGTTCCCTTCAAATATTTATATGATTTCTTGTTCGTACTTTTATCATTGTTATTGTATACATCTTTATTTTATTTTCGTCATTTATGTCCTTAGAAAAAATTGGAGGAGAAGGATTCTCAAATAGTAGAAGTCAAGAAACTTCTTTCAGAAAAGTTGGAGACTGTATCACGTCTGGAGCGAGATATTGCTAACTCCAGATTGGAACTGACTGAGATGGAGAAGAGAATGAGTGACGCTTTGCAAGTTGAGGTACACCTTAGTTTCTGTATTCTATGACCAGATTTGGAGAAGTTCTTGCCATTGGATTTCTTATACAATGCTGATGTATACCCTTCCCATGGCTTCCTTGCACAGGCAAGTCTAAAATCAGATATCGAGAAGCAAAGGAAGATGACTGCTCAGTATAAGGTTTTTAAAAGTTTCATGTCCTTTATAAGGAACAATTGTTACCTGAAATTAATTGCACATATTATATGTAATCCTCTCTTGACTAGTTTTTGACATTTGGAGTTGTGCTTATAAGGTGAAAGCTTTTCTTATTTTTTGGTTGATGATTAACATTCATGAATTCTGCAGAGGAGACTTGAAATGTTCTCAAGAGAAAAAGAGACCCTTTCAAAAGAAAAGGAGACACTATCAAAGGAAAAGGAGGAACTGAGCAAGGAGAATCAAGCTCTTTCTAGACAGCTGGAGGAACTCAAATTAGGTAAGTTTAAACCATCCATCAGTCCTTTTCCACTCATTTGTGATATATATTATAATCCACTCATCTATCTGTTTCTGTTATTTGACTGTATCTTACAGCGAAACGAGCATCAGGGGATACTACCGGGGAGCAGGCAATTAGGGAAGAGAAAGACCAGAAAATTCAGGTTGAACTTAATAAACATTTTTGCTTTTCTGTATCTCTTTGACCTCTTTAGCAAGTTGTGACTTATTTACTATGATCGCCAGCTTCTGGAAAAGCATTTGGAGAGGCAGAGAGAGGAGCTGAGAAAGGAGAAGGACGAAAACCGTATGGAGAAAGCAATGCGCAAGAAGATGGAGAAGGCTGTAACGGATTCCTATACTAATGTTGACCAGGTTTTCTATCTGTCCGTTGTAGTAAATTCTATATCAGTTAAAGCATTCTACCAGTATATCCTAGGGTTTACTTCTGGAATTCAGCTGGACATGTTCTTAGTACTTTAATCTCAATGTGGATATAAGCTGTGTTACGAAGTGATGCATGTGATGTTTTTTGCTTTAGGACAAGACGAAGTTCATGAATGAACTAGAGAAGCATAAGCAGGCTCTGAAGCAACTTTCAGATGAGCTGGAAAAGCTAAAACATGCAAAAGACAGTCTCCCTGAGGTATGATTTTTATTTATCAAACCGGAAAGCAGATTCCTTTCACTCCCCTTATGAGTACCTATATTCTAACTTGTTTTACGTACTTTGTTCATCATATTTCAAAACCATGTTTTATACTTGCTATTTCACCTCGGTTTGTTTTAATAATATATTCCATGTATCTCAGGGCACCTCAATTGTTCAACTGCTATCGGGAACCATACTGGATGGCCTTGCTGCTGCCTACAGCTTAGCTGTTGAAAATTTCGAAAAGACAGCACATTCAGTTCACAATGAGTTTGGAGCTCACGGTGTTCTGGCAAACACTACTCCAGTTGCAGATGCTTCATTAGTGGCTACCTCTGGTACTTTTGTTGAGCAATTCTTTTTATACTGAGGATTGGTGTACTTCATTTTTTATTTCCATCGTTTATTTTGTAAATGCTGCTAGTTCTTTATTCATGTGTAAATTCGTTAACCTTTGTGTGCCATGCAGGTACTGCTCAAGCACCCACTGTTGTGCCTTCAATGAGTCCTGCGAAGGGCTTAGTATCCAAAGCGACTGAAGAAAGCGCAAAGAGAATCACTTTGCCCAAAACCAATGTCGAAACTCGCAAACCAGGAAGGAGATTGGTTAGGCCCCGTCTTGTAAGACCTGAAGAACCACAAGGTGATGTAGAGATGTCAGAGATGGAAGGCACCCGCAATGGGGGCAAACAAGTGCCAACGAATGAAGTGGAAGTTCAAGGCAATGCTACTTTGACACAACCGCTGCTTCGGAAACGTCTGGCTTCTTCATCTACTTCTGAGTCCCGTGAGGAAACAAATAATCAAGGGGAAATTTGTCCTGATGTGGCAGCACCTGTGTCAAAGAAGTCCAAAGGTTCAGATTCTCCACAGGGGAGTGAAGGGCAGCCATCTACTAGTTCGGAGAATCTTGGGAGTGTTCCAGTCAAAGATGAACCTTTAGACGTCGCTGTTGATTTGCCGCAAGGTTTAAATGAGGAAGCTGCTGTTGATGTTGAGAAAGAAGAAACTGAGACTGCTGGGGAGAAGGTTGAAGAGCCAAATGAAAGACAGTTTGATGGTTCGAGTCAAGTTGAATCACAACCTGAGAAGGATAGTGATTTAGTGGAGAATGTGGATGGATCAGATGGAAAAGATATGCCATCACACGATGGAGCCAAAGATCAGGTTGAGCTGGAGCAACAGTCCAGTGATTTTGGAGGAGACCGAGAAGAGGGAGAGCTGGTCCCTGATATTTCTGAGCTTGAAGGTGGTGGTGATACGATGGCCAGTCCTGAAATAGGGGAAGTTCAACCTGAACCTGTAACAACTCCCGAGGCTTCCCCAGCTAGGGGCGATGATTATGGTGTTGCTGCTGGTTCTGTTGTGGATATCAGTGAGGTTAATTATCCAGAGATTCTTAATGATGACATTGATGCGACTGAAGAAACCGCTGATGGTTCCGATAAGTCAATTGACGGTAATGACCAAACTGTGATGGAGACTGATCAGGCTGCCGAAGCTACCTCAGTAATCGTGGATACCACTTCAACAGGTACCACATCGGAAGTTAGCGTTTCAAAACAAACTAGTCCCAGTCTTGCGGCAGAAGAGGTGAGACAGGTGTCTCCAGTGACTAATCCGTCAACTACCATAAATATAACAGAACGAGCCGTGGCGAATGCACGCCGAAGACAACAGGCAAGAGGGCTTTCTACATCACCAAGCCCAGGTCGTGGTGGACCAGCTGGAAGACAAGGTGGGAGACCTGGACGTGCCCCTCCTGGACGCGGACGCGGACGTGGACGATCTCGTGGGTCAACATCTGGCGATCAAGGGTGAGACCAAAATTCATAAGAAAGTTGCACTTTATCCCCCATACTGCCATTGAAAGAGCACAAAGGGATGGTGTCGCAATTTTTTCGATGTTCGAAAATCGGATATGGATTTTGGAAACATGTTAGTTGGAGGATAAGTGGTTTGATGCTCAGTGAGTAGTATGTAAATCCATTTTTGCTTCCTTGACGATGGAGCGAGCACCTGCCTACTGTTTTGCATAGTGTACTTTCTTGTTCCGGGAAGGACACGAACGCCACCTGTTTCGCTCGTTATATTAACGTTTACCAAGTTTCGTTTGGACTATCATAGTTCTGCCTTCTGTGTTGGAGTTCTGCCAGGGTTTCCGGAAATGGTTGTCTCAAACTTTCCGGCTACCTCATCGCTTCACCGGACTGGATTGAGTCGATCAACATTTTTGCGATGAAAAAAGCGCGTAAATTATTTGTTTGTGATATTAGGTATGGTCACAAAGTATACGAGATAAAAAAGCGCGTAAATTATTTTTTTAATCCGTTTACATTTACATTTACCCGAAGAAAATGAGAAACTACAACAATAATAACAATATCTTATTCCACTAAGTAGCGTCGTCTGTATGAATTCTCTAAGGCCATTGCGCTCAGCTGTATGAATACTTTCATAAATAAACTATCATTTTTTTTTCTTCCTTTTTTTTCTTTTTTACAATTACAATTACAATTGTGAATTTCAGGAGAACTAAGTGAGAGGTGGGAACACAAAACAAAGAACCAAATACACTTTTATGCTGAAGACAAAAGCTATATGTATGCAGGCAGAGGAAGGGCAGAGAACTTGGATTCCACAGGCATATGAATCGTTAGGTGCTTCCAAAACCAGCATTTCGTACCTCGGTTTCTTTCGACGGAAACTTGAAAGGGAAACAGCGACACCTCTTCATTCTCATGCCTTTGAATTTCATCTGCAAATTTACATATTTTAACTGCTGCTCGAAAACCGTCGACTCCAGTTTCTGGTTTATAATCTGTCATATGCCCATATCTCTGCATCCTTTCCTTTGCCTTTCACCTTAGGCCCCTACTCAGCACTGACACTTAACTCACTCATTTTCTGCTGCAACATAAATAAAAATTCCTGGTTAACATTCCACGGCGAAAACAAATTACAAGCAAACCGAAAGAAGAAATTTAACTCTCCCGCTTTGTCCTTCTACACTCCTCCCCTTGTTTATGTCTATATATATTTTTCTTTAATTATCGAATCCAACGCCTAAAGAAACGAGAGGAATGCAGGGGAAAAAAGAAGAGAGTGCAGAAATCAATTCCCGTAAAATATAGTAATTATTATCCTATCTGAAAGAATAGAATAAAGTCATCCCTATTTCAAAAACTTGAATGGCACAACACTCTCCACTTTGTTACTAGCTTTATTCTTGCTTTATTCTTGATCCTTTATGCATATATGCAAGAACTTTACTTAAACATGCCAATGGTATTAGAAAACTAGAAAAGATTTTCGTTGATCGAAAAGAATTGAGAGAAAGGAAGAGTCACGGCATACCTGCAGTTCGTAGTAGGGTGTAGATTGTGTGATCCTCTTCTCCTGCATCATTTTCTGGCGGGTTTCGTAGAAATCAAAGTCATCCAGTATTGATGTCTTTGACATATAATTTTTAAAAATGTTCAGCATTTCGATACCCTGAAGAAGTTTCACCTGCAAAATACAAAAGTAATCTCAGATTTATGCTTGATCACACTGAATGAAAAATACAATAAAATCAAACTTCTTGTTGGTTATGCACACCTCTTGAGTGTCTCTACTATTGGTCACGGGCTTGTTCTCGTTGTTCTCAAGTATTATATGTCGTAACTGTGGGTTTGGGATGTCTTTTATGATATGCCACTTGACCGGAAAATAACCATTCCACTTATCCTGCTGCCAGAAATCCATGTTCTTATTGAAGTCGACACGACCAATCATCTCAGCTACTCCACAAAACTGACCACTAGCATTAACCTGAAACACATCATAAAACAGACGGAAGCAAAGATGGCATTAGTAAATCATTTTAGAGACCAAAGGTCCAAAAGTCTGCAGTAGGAAACTCCTGCGTAAAAATATAAGGTCTAAGTCTCCAGCATACCGAAAAGAAGAGGAAGACGGGACACTTGTAGCCCTTCTGTGCCACCTTCTCTTGTGCATCTTGATATGCACTATCCAACCTCTTATTTCCATTGGGAGTACTAGCCCACACATTGTATTTGATGCTTTTATGAATATCATCTTCACTGTAAGATTTGATGACAAAGAAAAGTGCTTGCTTGTATTTGGTTGGAAAGTCCGGGAGGTTATATTGATCCTTCCTGATGACAGAGGCTATGCCATCAGAATTTTCATTCTCCTTGTCAGCTCCGGGCACCAATGCACCTTTAGGATTGGTTGTTCTGGGGCCATGGTTCTTCTCATTAAATAGATTAATATCCTTAACGCCATTAGCCTTACTTCTTGGTTTCAACTTGTCAGAGCCACCCCAGCCCCTTGCATTTGGTTTTAAAGTCGGAGAATTGTTTGGATAGAGCAGTCCGCCTGTCCCTTGGTTATAGACCGGAACCTTTGATACCGGAAAGTAACCTTTCGCTAGTGCCTCTGTTTGAAGACTTGGGGGACGCAGCGAGGCCTAAGATCATTGAAAAAATCATCAAAATTGCCCAAGATAAGAGAATATAACGCCACCGGCACAAAGAAAAAGTACTCTACCTTGTTTGCTGGTTTTGACTGATTTCGCGCACCATAACCTGATGAAACATCCAACGGCTTGGGAGATTTAGAGAGTGGAGCACGAGTGTGACTAGGGGAAGAGAAATTAGGTTTATAGGGCGGTGTTTCTAAGACTGCTTTGTGGGGACTTCCGACTGTTCCATCTCCAACAACAGGAGATGGATCCCACAAGTAGGGTGATTGGACGAACTCCCCATAAGGAAGAAGAGAAGGGTTATATCCGGGGGAAATAGGAGCTTGGTACACGGGACTCAGGGAGGGATACATCTGTTGACCAACATATTGCCCATCACTACCGATTGGAGAAATGGGCATGTATGGCGAGTAGGGATCATAACCAGGCTGAAATCCTGGCATCAAGTAGACAAAAGATCCATTATCTGCTTGCATGACCTAAATGGAGCAAATAGTGACTATAAGATCAGTTTGTTACAAATTGCACACAGCAGAAGTAATCTAAATGCAATTTGAAATCAACAGCCATATGAATCCAGACACATAACAATGTCTTTCGTGCGCAATTGTGAATTAGATAATGGAACTTACTGGATATTGCATCTCCATCCCTGTTCCACCAACATAGTATCCATTGTTTTCCATTTCATAACCTGCGCATGTGGTAATGATAAGATGTTAAAAGTAGCCTAAGAACACGAATTATGGACCGTAGTTATGAGAAGCTGCTGCAAACCTGGATAGGTGTATCCGTAATATGCAGTTGGCGGATAAGAAGTCAGGGATTCATAATCTGCATCTGCATCTGCATCACTTTTTTTTACACTGGCGTTTGTATCTCCCACGGTCGATATACATGATGCTGTATCAGATGGGCTCCCATCCTTGCTGTGAGCCTAAAGATACACACACACACAAACAAGCAAATTCACAAGTTAGATTTTCATGGATCACAAAGCAAGCAGACATCAAAACTACGAATCACGCATCGAAACGACGAAATCTAAATATTCAACATGGTAACTCAATATATGGTACAAAGCCAAGCTTTAGGCCTAAAAACCAAATAATTATTGCAACAAAACAAGGAAAATAATTTTCACCCTCCTCTTCATCCCCTTGCACTTCCCCTCTTGTTTCTAGCCACATTGATTGAATAAATCGACGGGACAGAAACAAGCAGGAAGAACAGGAGGAGAAAAAGGGAGTGTGAAAGTAAATTATGGCATACAATACCAGATTGGAATTGAAGAATTCTGTGGATTGGACATGCGGGTTTGAATCTTTCTCTTCTTCCTCCTCTTTTCTAAGAGCTGATCATACAAAATCAGGATCAAAGAGTTAAGCTCAAACAATCACAGAAACAAAAAATTCAGAAAAATAAAAATAAAAAACAAAAACAAAAATTCAGTAAATTACATACAGTTGTGATGAAATTGAGGTGCAGCAGCGGCAGCCATGGCCTCTTTCCAAAGGCAAAAGAAAATCCTTTGAATCAATCAAATAAAATTAAACTAAAAATAAAAAAACAAAGATATTTTTGGGGTGTGTTTGTTATGGAGGAGAATCCTATATTTTCTCAAACAATATTAAAATCTGTCTCTCTGTCTATCTATATCTATCAAAAACATCTAACGTTGTAACAACACAACAAATCCGGATAAAAATTAGCGCTCTGTAATCTCTGCTGCCCAAAACTCCAACAATCCTACTCTTCTGCTGCTGCTTTTACTCCTTAATATCCACTTTTTCTTTCTCTTGGATTTTTTGTTTTTTTCCCAAAACAAAACCAAATTCCAATCAAACCCCAACAACAATCACCAAATCAAAAACACAGAAAACACATAAAGTTTTTGAATTGGAAAGAAGAAGAGAGAGAGAGAGAGAGAGAGAAATGGTTTTACTTGAGAACAACAAGAACAAGAAATAGCTTCACACAGCTAACGGCAGACAGAGACAGAGTAAAGTCAACAACAGCAATAACAACAATTTATGGCAAATGGACGGTGATGAGGCCTCCACGTCCTCTCCTTTATTCTTGTTAAATATGGAAATTAATTAATTAAATATTTATGATATATTATTGTTTCTGCAATTATGCAGACATATTATTCTGGTTCTACTTTCGACTTCTGTTTACTGTTTTTTTTGCCTATTTGTGGAATCTTTCTATTTTTTATCACCACCATCATCCTTTTATGGGTTAAAGTTTTTAACTTTTACATCAACCATGCGGCTGCTGCCTTTTTTAATTATTTTTAGTAATTTTTATATATTTGCAGTGCATACACGTAGCTTTCATGTGCGTCATCACCAGCCCATGCTGGCACCCAAAAATCCAATTATTTCAAAATCTCCATTCATTTATTTATTTATTTTTTCTTTTCGTGGTGGAATGAATACCATTCAACATATTATGGCCTCTATAAAACCAATGCTAGTTCACGTCTCTTCCACCGCGCACCGCCTCTCTATGGTCTCTACATTCCTCAGTCTCCATTTTTTTTATTTCATCCAGTTTTTAAATATCTTAAAATTCTCTTTTAATTGTTCCTTAAGATTGTACCTAGGAAATAAACTCCATAAAACAAACATGATGCACTGAATTGTGCATCAAAAACCTTAGCAAATATAGATTGGTAATTAACGGTGATACTAATTAAGAGCGCTATAGAGCGTTTCGGAGATATGCTCAAAATATCGGTGTATACTTTTTTTTTTTTTTTGAGCAAATGATATTATCTACACTAGGGGGTGGAGGAGTGGGTTAAGTCTCACAATAGACTACCAATGATGTAGTTCAAATTCATCTTTGACGAGAATCGAACTTTAAGGCCTCTTACTTACAAGTAAAGAATAATACCACTAAACCGTAGTACTAAGTGACAATACCGATGTATACTTACAACATCTTTCCCGTTTAAAAATACAAAAAAGGAAAAAGGCATAATAAACATGATACGTTGAACTGCGCATAAGTGCGGGACGCTCTTTTTCTCTTCCTCCAGGTTGAAATTCCTGGTAAGTTTTTATCGAAGCCCATTGTTGTGCATTCTATCCTCTTTTATGTACGTTTATTCCCTCTCTTTCATCAATGAATATCGTACATCTTCTCAACAACAACAAAATCACTTATGCGTAAAACATATCGTAATTAATGGTGATATTGTGAGCGTTCTAGGGCGTCTCGAAAATCATTTATACACGAAGATGACGCTTTACCGTAGTGGCGGAAAGCAATTTTTCCATGTACTCTAGTGCAGCTTCAGTCTCCACCGATTTCTCTCCCCCTATCATTTAACAATTTTAACCTATTAACGCTATCGTTTGTCAAAAAAAATGTAGGATTAATCAAATAACATTATAATTGATCATTAATCGAATAAAGAGACATGAACCTAGTTTTCTTAAAGTTAATGATGATCCTGATGTTATGATTTTAATCATATGTGACTGTGAAGCTTGACACACGTATGATCATTAAGTTGGACCAAAACTGAATTTTACATCACTTTAAGAGGTAAAAGTTCTTTATTGAAAATTTGAACCATTTTTAAAAGGTCTTAGTAGATAGGACTAAAGAGGGAAAGACCATGAATTTGCATGGACCATGATTAATTAGTAGTAAGTTGTGCCTAAACTGTATTAGACTCAAATCACATCGTTAAGCAAATAAAGTATCAATAAACCCAACATTCATCAAGCATTACCCTCCTTATTTAATCAAATTTATACAAAATGCAAAGATCCACTTATCCCGGTTGAGATGCCTTCCTATAACAGGCGCATTATCATTGGCCTTTATGCTCCTTTTCATCTGCTAAACCACACTAATTTGATGCCATCTATGATACTTCGGCAAAAGCTAATCGCTTATTTTTCACATCATGTTGTATACCAACGTGAAAGTTTTATACAATACGAGATGCATCGATGTTTAGGTTAACTGTTAAAATTTAGCATGCAAATCAAGTTATCTAATACATCATACATCAGTGCATTGTAGAATTTCGTATCACATAATGTGAAAACGTAACTTTACTTGCTCTAAAAACAAATTTATCATGACATGTAAATTATAATCTAATACAGTTCATGATAATTGTGTTGACAAAATGAAAAATGATCATTGTGGAAACTGCAAATTAGGTTAAAATATGCACACTTAAAATATGTGTGTGTCTTCACTTGTAAGTGAGAGGTTTTATGTTCGATTCTCGTCAAAGACGAGTTTGAACCATATTATTGTTAGCTCATTGTGAGACAAAACTCACTCTCTCTCCTTTAGGATAGAAAATATCGTTTGATCAAATATATATATATATCTTTATATCGAACGATCTTACCTAGAAAATAGCAATAATAGCAAATGAGAAAGAAATATAATAAAAATAAAGTCATCGATCGATCAAGATTTTAAAATGCATCAAGCAGGTGTAAGTGCAGAATCACTGCAAGGATTTGGATTTTTTTTTTTTTTATAGACTTTTAAAGATACTATGGTGGAACTTGGACTTTGATATGATTCACCTATAAATGTGCCACCATACTCAATGATTTGGCTTGGCTTTTGTTTTTTTCAACAATTGTGGACGCAGGAAATTTTTTAAAATCAAAATGAGCTTGAATAGTTCAATAATTTAGTTTGATCGTCAGCATAAAAATAAAATAGTTTAAACAATAGAAAAAGAAGTATCAATATTTTGGGTAGGGTGTTGGAAAATTCTGAACAGCAAGAGTATAGAACTAAAAGGACCAACCAGAAGAGGGCATGTAAAAGTTTTCTTTGTGGGTAAGGGTTCCTTCCTATCCATCCATCCATCCATCCAATTCCAACCATTTAAAACTATTGACATCGGCCAACCCCAATTTATTATACGAACCCAATATTTTAGGAGAGCCTGGAGTGCCACGATTGGCTTGCACGTGTTTGCTTCACTAACACTTGAAATATTGAATCTGGATTGTATACATTTTACACCATTAAAAATATGGTTTCACAGAATTTGGATAAGACTTTGGAAAAATGAAGGCACAAGGAAAACACAAACTGTTTGGCTAAGAAGTAGATCCATCTAGCCGGAGCTTGTAATCCAAATAATTATTAAGAACATTCATTTATGCGTCACGAGTTTTGTTGCACTATTATCATTTTCGATATTGTTTAGAAAAAAATGCACACTTGAGTCAGTTGATCTAAATTAATGAATTTAACCTCAAGAAAAGAAGACAATTCTATAAATAAGCACTGTGATATTAATTAAATTAAGCACCCGAAACCGGCAAGAGCTCCTATACGTTGAATATGGTGGTGGTTTTGATTTGATTATAAATAATAGAAAAGTAGAGATATGTTGTAGCCTAAAATTTAGAGAGAAAGAAGAAGGGAGAGACGGCATAGAGAAGAGAAGGGTTTGTGAAATTATGTGTGATATTCATCAAGCATTGTGTATTTATTTATAGTAATAGGAGAGAGAATAACTTACTCTCTAAGTAAAACAAAATCTAATGGGAAAGATCTTATAGATTCCGAATGATTCCTAACTTAACTTAAGATTTATACCACACTACATTAAATATTAGTTACAACACTTCCCCTTGAGTGCTTAAATACTCAAGTAGTAGTCCTATCAAATCTTTAGCCATAAAGTTGAAGTAGTTGATAAAGTTGTCTCGTAGGCACTAATGGAGAGCGCGTGAGTCTCATATAGGGATTTGCATGTAGGATTAAGTCTCACCAAATTTGGTTATGGTAAAACCCAATGGGGTTAATTCATAGTCTTAAGGAAAACAAATGTGAGTTAATGCAACATGTCGATACTTAACATCTTCAAGATGTAGGTAGTAGACAACATACAAAAGGGTATGACCATCCCGATGTGGGTGCTTTGTCAAAACCTTGTCAAATTATTAGAACCTCAGTGATTATATACTTCAAGATATTCTCCCTAAGTTCACCCTGAGAAGTACAAGTGTCGCAAATGAGAAGATCTACACATACCAATTCATCGAACAAGCTTTTGGAAGATTGACTTTGACAACGACTTTGCGAAGAGGTCGGCAATGTTGTCTTAGGACTAGATCTATTTGACTTTAATCTTCTTATGTTCATGTTGATGTGAGAAGTACACAATATGCTTGGTGTTGACTTTGTTAATGTATCATTGCTTGATTTGGTCGATATATGCAACGTTTTCTTCACAGGTCGTCGTATGACTCAACGATGGATGAAAAATTGTAAGTACTTTATGGCAATAAGCTCGAAGACGTTGTAACTAGGGTTTGTTTAGTGGACCTCCAAGATATTGCGGTGTTCCTCACTGTAAAGATATAACCCGTTTGGAGACGTGCCTTGTTCCAAAATCACTTTCATCAAAAGTGTTTTTAGTTATTTTAAAAGTATTTCTAAACAAACTCTTATTTTACGTATATTGTCCTAATCAAATGGTTAGGTATTATCATATATTAAGATTTTTCTCTATTTAGTTTTTAAGCTGAAAAATTGAAATTAAGGGCCCAAGAGTTTTACAAGCCAGAGAATCCACTTTTAGAGTATTAAGTTTAGGCCCAATGCTCGACGGCTCAGCCCATCTCTTTTCTCAAGCTGAATTTTAGTTCCTGGTTTTATAACTTCACATGATGCATTCATAGTGACATTATTTGATCTTTCATCATCCTTTTGTTTGTGTAACAGCACCAAACAAAGTTTGCAATTTGCAGGCACAAACCATGAAACTCTGAGACAACATTTAGAGCAATTCCAACCCTTTATTTGATGTTCTCTCATATTGTTAGGCATAAAATGTTACGGATATCATATTATTGAACTGTATTTGTGTAGTATTTGAAATAACAAGTGATGTTTACATGTTATATTGATTAAGTGATGTCTACACCATTTAGAGCAATTCCTAACACTTTCCGCAATC